TGAAACGCGGATTAATTTCAACCGCACCGGGATTGTCCGATGATCGACAGACAGAAACTCTTCCCCGCGACAAGCCTCCTCTCCTATGGCCGCCTTTCGAAGTCACTCGAGACTCGAAATCGGGGATTTATTCGGAACTGTCAACCTCAGAGGGTACACTATAAAGCACCGTCTGGAAATGACACGGGGGAATCTTCCCTCGACGTCACCCACAAGCAGGTTGCGTCGAGAAACCCAAGTTCAGCGTTGATCCAAATGTCAAATTCGTGACTTTTCATGCAGGCAGCGCTGTGAGAAATACAGACCGTGCATACACGGCACTTCGCGAAAGTTGCGCTCTCGCAAATTTTATTTCACGTTGAAATAACCCGAGACTGGAGAAGAGAAACATCACTATACTGATGTCTCTCAATTCCCCAGGCTCAGGTTAATTGAACGTGGTTATTACTCTCGCCTGCACCCTTACTATATTTTCTTTGTAAACGTTGCTTGGGCAAGAACCGAAAAATAATTCTCGCAAATCATTTTTCCTTGATCTTTTCTTCTTTTTTTTTTTTCTTTTTTTTTTTTTTTTATGAAAGGAAGAATGCATATTTGAAAAGGTTCTCCGAGGTCAGTTAAGTTTTGAAACCAGGCAAGTGCTTCATCCTTGTGGCTAATTAGGGAAGATTATGCGGCAATGCATGGAGTAGGCATCATCGAGCCTACAGGGTGAATAAAGCATAATTATCCGCCTTATTACGGATGGTGCCACAATTTCGAGCCGAGAGAAGGTACTCTAGTAAACGCCTATCTTGCTAGTTAAACCATTCTTAGCTTTCTTGGACGTAGTCCCGCAAAAACACATGTAAAAATAAACAAAGATAAAATCAGGGTGTCTAGCAAATTACTATTTTGAAATTCCCCGACTTTTCCAGGTTTTCCCCGACAAATTCAGGTGAAATTCCCTGGCCACTGTAGAGGCGGTTAAATATGTAAGACCATTACAACACAAGGCATGAGCATTGAGCACTTTGAGGATCGTTTTGCACGGGCTTAATCCAACTTGCATATTCCGAAATATTCGGGTTCGTCCAGTCGGGATTAAACGAACACTTTCTCGCCGCCAACATCGCCAGTGAAGAGGCCTCTATCGGAAACACAATGAAAACACGACGTTCAACCACACACGTCAATAACCGTATGACAGCATGGTCGCCAGATGCACACTCTCGGATACTTTCGGCTTGGATTCGATTGGGGTCTGCGGCTTTTCCATTTGTCCCTAAATCTAGTAGCTCTAATTAGATTTAGCCTAGTGTCGCGCCCTCGATCCACTCCAATCCAAGGCTTGTTCTGGATTTGTCAGCTGTTCCATTTGCATCGGGTGAGCAGAGCCTGCGCTCAGCTCTAAGCAGAATTTATTGCATATTTTCCTGCCCTCAAGTCTTTGCTCAAGGCACTTGATGGCGTTTCCGGCTCATTTTCCTTGACTGGGCTCGCTTTTTGACAATATCCATAATTCCCGGTCGCTAAGCTCCCTAAAAACAAGCTGCTTCTTTTTTTTTTTTTTTCTTTCTTTTTTGTGTTAGTGTGTGTGTGTGTGTGGGGGGGGGGGGAGGATATTTAGGTTTAAGTATATACTTCGGGCCTCGGGGGAAAAAGTGGCTGCAAGAGAAGTTCAGTCAACGCAAGGCGCCGACGAGGTTAATCAAGCAGCCCGAAAAGTGCTGCGTCACGGCTGTCACCCCGGCTAAACCAATTAAGCCTAGCTAACCCGGCATGATTTTTTTTTTCTGTACGCATGCATTTGTTTGTATGTCTTAAATCTAGCCTTTTTGTGCGCTCTGACCTGGGGTGAAACGAAGTTTAATCGCCGACGCGCCCGGTCAAAGCTCTCAGGACGAATTGAGAGTTGTTTTGTTTTCACCATGTCCCCATGTTGCGTCCGGAACCGAGTCAGGTTAACAGAATCAGCCAACCACTCGTTCGGCTGACACAAAACTGCAGCGGAACCGATTAAAAAAACAATGCAAAAAAAAAAATTGTAAATACAATTTTTATTTAAAATGTAGCAGAATTATTTTTCTGGTGAAAGGTAATACACAAAATACACTCATGTTATATCCAACATTTCCACGGAGCATACTTAAAGTATATTTTTAGGCTACGAACAGTATGCTAAACGTGTACAGGATGGATGGGTGGTTTTGGCTGCACCCTTTGTATGGGGCGGTAGCTCGCGCTACCTATCGTAAAAATATTTACACCCCTCGCTTCCTTAGTTGTTAGATTCGGTTGACTGGACGGCACCGTTTCGTGTGCTATGCGTCGAGTTACATATCGCATGTATTAACTGCAATTTCTTTAGTTTAAAAATCATGTCTTAGATCACAGTTGAAAATCTTCCCTAAGGTAATTCCATGCATAGGCGAAAATCAAGGCCCCGAAAAGCTGATAGACTTCTTGCGTTTATATTTATTATATTCATCACATTTTAATATTAGGATGATAATAATTACCGACACCAGCGCGTTCCGGCACCTATACACGGGATTGTACGTGCTACCCCACCTAGAGTTTTGCTAGTCTGTGTGGAGCCCCTCCCAGAATTGCCTCAAACAAGCTCTGGACAGTGTGCAGTGCAGGGCTGCTTACACGCTCTACAGGCGCAGTGTTCTCGTTCCACGCTCTCACCCTACAGGGAGCTAACTGGCACAGCCTCGCACACAGAAGAGAGGTGGCTTCCATCCGTCTCTTCTGCAACCTGATGGGAACCCCAATGAAGCCCTCAGACACCTCTCGCTTCAACTCCCGCACCGGAAAGATGCAGCCTCTCCTGGCACGCACGCTACGCCACCTCGAGTCACGCTTGATGCGCACAGCCAGGAATTGGTGCTCTCTGCCCCCTGAACTGACTGGAGACATTCCCGATGACCTCGAGGACATTACAGCCCTCTGCCGGCAGGCCTCAAGTGTGTTTCCATAGACCTCTGCCCTACCGCCCCCCCCCCCCTTTTTTTTTTCCCAACTGTTTGTACATGCATCCGATTTTCAAACCATTACGCATTGTCATCTGTACATATTCATGAGTGTTCAACCTTGTATTGTGCGGCATCGCAGACTTCTACGGTATGGTCCATCGGCCTTTCTGCGGCGTCGCGGCTGCCCTGAGCCGGAATAAATATTATTATTATTATTATTATTATAAGAAACGAAAGTACAGTATATGCTCTATTCGCCATGAATGGATAGATGCATGGCGGCTGTTCCCTTTGAATCGGGCGGCGACTAGCGCCACCAGTCATGGGGATGAATGGATACCGCTGAACCCTTTTAATTTAATCGCTCCAGTGGGGGTGACGCCACCCAGCGGAAAAGACGTGAAGCAGTGGAGAAAGGTACAACCACCGATCCAAGTGTGCAGCGAAAATTGGCGCCAGCTGGCGGTCGAAATGTGAAATACAGAAAAGGGGAAACGCACGAATGGGTTCGAGTTAAGTTTCTTGGCTCACAACATCGCGTCTTCACGTAATTGTTTTTCCAACGCGCTCAAACCGAATAGCATGGAGAAACATTTAACCGATAATTAATTGTGTTACGGGAACGATTCTCCCGAGATCTATCTTCCGTCTTTTATCACGAACCGAAATAAAGCGGCTTTTACGAAACGCGGAACGGGTAAACCCTAATTTGGAAAACTGAAATACACCAAAACTGAAACGAACTAGATTACATAGTGATTCGGGAATTTTAGTAAGTCGTACCGAGGACTCCGATAACGGTACCCCATACTGCGCCGGCGCCTTTGCGCATGTATCGTATTGTTACCGGTTGTCGTTATCGGAAAAATCTACTAAAACTCCCTATTACGGTCACCGTAACCAAACCGCTATTTGTTTTTATTTATGTGTTTACAAGCCTTTCGTTTCAAGTAAAAAAAAAATCGCAACAACCGACACACTAGCAAGCAGAATAAGGCACCCCACACTGACGACACCGAAATAGCACTCCCCAGAGAGAAAACATTTATTTTTCTTTCCCTCGTGGTGGGACGACAGCTTGCTTGGAACCACGGTCGCTACAACGTGGGAAAGTAAAGCGCTAAGGTCACACCCTCCCCGAATTTACCACACCAACTGCATCAGCAGTATTCCGCTTGACACCGCAACCCCACGCGAATTCGTTGTTGACGACAGAACCTACTATCTGACAAGAAACTAAATTAAAAACAAATAATAATCGGACATCTCCCTGTAAAAAAGCAATCACCCGTCAAGGGCTAGTACACCACAGCCAAAGTAAATGAGACCTCGTTTAGCAGACGACCGACATATCGCGCCAGTTAACACGCGTCGGGAGCGCTGCGCTTCGGCGTGTAAAAACTGTAAATTCCAAACTGCTTTAACAAACAACAATACCGAAAGAACGACTTACGATCTCTGAAGCTGTAAGTAATTGGAGAGAAGTCAATCATTTTAATTAATCGGGGTCAGGCCAAGCGGTACAAACTTTCACCGCGACGTCATATGGTCGAATAAACACGGTCCAAAAGGACTAAAAGATAGGCGAACCCAACACGATACCAGAAAACGTGCGAGATAATGAAGACACAATCAGCTTAGAAGGAAAAGTTGCTATTTGCGAGACGGCTCCACTTATCACGCTGACGGCATATCGCTCGTAAAAACAACGCTGTGGATTACGATCTCATACGTGTCGCACAGTTTTACCGTTTTACAGCTTGCACACGCACACAGCGCCGCCGAAAGCTAGCCCAAAGACAACCCACACAGTCTGCTAGTTCATCGCCGCTATAAGTACCACGCCACACCTACTTCGGAGAAAGGCGAGACCCGTCAAAAATAAAATTACGAGGATCGATCACCGACTGTCGTCAGTTCAGCGAAATGCCAAAAGAAACTGAAGTTGGGAATTCGCGTGGGGCACGCTAGTCCTAACCTGGACTTCGAGGCATTCCTCCGTCGAGCCCGACGGGACGGGAGAGATTTTGAACTCACCGTGGTCGTCACCGGACTATCTGGTATTCCATTGGTCCCGCTCGCCATCGACGATAGGATATCGGCGACGGACATCCTCAGATCGGCTGATTCGTTGCTGCTGGCCGTTGTCGTGCAGTACATGGCGATAGGCTTTTTGGGGGGGACAAAACACGAGCACACACACACACGCGCGCGAACGCGCGTCTGCTTCCCGATGGACGGCAAAATCACCAAAGAACACACTTCGCTAAGAGCGGTCCCTTCTGCTCGTGGCCCGCGCTGTGTGCAAGCCGACGGTGGGATGAGTCATCGACGGTGGTCGCCGAAGGTTGAGGGAAGCCCTGCCGAAATTCTTGGCAAACGGTGACATCACCCCCCCGACAGACTAAAAATAGACAAAACAAAGCAACGTCAATACTCTAGTCACGTGATGTTCAATAACCGTGACGTCAGGAGAATAAACATTGGCCAATCCCGCGTTTCGTAATAAAAAAATGTCGCTCCTTTTTTTTTTTTTTTTTTGCACTACAATTGTTTTAGCCTTTGGAGCGATTTGTTATATTGCTGACGTTTTTGGGTCCGATAGAATTAGCTGATTTGGTCGAAACTCGCAGCACCGACAAGCCGTATGACGCAACGACTTTGTGGTTATGCCCATAAAAGGCGAGGAATGATTCACGCCGCGACGTCGTCGAAACGTGCGGCCCGTTTCGCGACTGGTTGTCGGTTTTGCCGTCACGAGGTCACGAGGTACGGAGGAACCGCGAGGAGTGGTCAAGAAAGGTTGGAAGGGGAGCGGGGGAGATGTTTTTCTTTTCTCTTTGCCGCATTCTCCTCCGCCTTCTCCTTGGCCAGTTCCGACAATTGGTCAAGGCTACCAAAGGCCACCGGAAGATCCCGTGCCGACATGCGCGGATTCTGCGAACGATTACGGACAAAAACACTAGCGTAACCCGACGTCAGCGATCGGACCCAGGCGGTTAGCTCTTGGCCACAGTTCCGACTCTCCTTTACATTCCAAAGGATAGCCCCACTGTAAAAGGGTACGTAGTACGTGGAGGTGAGAACGGCAGGGCGTGTTCGAACACCTCGGCCTCCAGCTCGCGCTCGTTGCTTAGCTCCACGCCTACGGAGAGCAAGCAGTGTAGCTTGGGCTGGCTTTCCCACACCAGTTACTAGATGGTTCAGGTGTGCGGTTCCAGATCAGGGGTTTCCCCAGGAGTTGAAATTAGGGCGGGGGGTCTACATTTTTAGGGGGGGGGGGGGGGGGGGGGGGGGGGGGCAATAGAATAAAGGATTCGTTGTGAACTAAGGGGGTACCTTCGGAAAAACAAGGGGGGGGGGGGGGGGGGGGGTAGGAAAATCATTGCTCCAGATGGCAGTCACTCCGTGAGCACACCTAACCCATAAACCAAACTTTGAAGTCAGGGAGCGTGATTTGAACGTGGGGCATCCTCTTGCGAGTGTTCAGTCGACATATAAACGGAAAGATCGCAGTAGAGAAGCTGTAAAACTGGGAAGGGGGGGGGGGGGGGGGGGGGAGAGAGAGGGGAGAAAAAGCCATTGCCTATTTTAGAGTTGTTCTTCAATAAGGCAAATCCAAACCTTACAACTTCACTTTGTGTCGACTCCAAGCTAGTACCCACTGCACCGTCCTCAAAACTGTTTTCATGGGAGTTACACTTCTGTTGCCCATGTTCTCGTTTTTCTCACCGACACAAGGACGTTTTTGAGGTCTTTGGATCACGAGCATGTCCTTTGATAATTGGAAATCCCACATCTTTTTTTTTTTTTTTTTTTCTCGTTAACAAAAACATTTTTTTCTTTCTCCATTAGCAAAAACAGATACCGAATGTGCAATAAAAAAAATACCCCCGGCAAAAAAAAAAAAACGCATCCGAATTTGAAGAAAATTAAACTCAAAAATCATGGAGCTCCCAACTTCTGAGTTGAAGTATGTGCAGGACACAACTGCAGTAGTGGATAGAAGACGGGGATTTAGAAGGAAAATGTGGCGGGGTGGGGGATCTGCCTATTTGTAGAGTCCTGCACAGATAACAGTTCAATCATCCGCATCCACAGACTTCGTACCTGCATCCGATTCCGCATCCCCAATGTTCTTAAATAACTGTATCCGCATCCGATCCACATCTGCAGACTTTGTATCCGCATCCGAACCGCATCCGCAAAATTCGGAACCGTATCAGACTCTCAATCCGCGCATTCATTTTACATAATAAAACCAAACATTAATAAAACTTAGAAAAATCTGGATGGTATCCTATTAGCCGTCGGCTTGCCTTTCTACAAAGAACTCTTCCTTTAAGAACACAGTGAAAGTCACGTTATCATAGTCTGTTTTATTGTTTTTATAAAATATGCAATCATCCTTCCAGAGACACTTCGCGTCGCTCGAAAGAGGATCGCAGTTATTAGATCTTCTTGGGGGTCCGTGACACTGACGCTCTGTCCAATATGTGCTCAAAAGGGAGGAAATATATATTTATTTTTATTTATTTTGTAAAACCCACTTCAAGCAGGTGCATATTTTATAAGCATGAAAATTGTCAAAAGACAGACTAATAACATTGTGTCATCCTTTTTAGGCCAAACAGTAAAAAAGTGGGATGAAAGGCGCTCACTCGCAGCAGCAAAGTACTTGTGTATGTGTGGTAAGGCGCGAACACACCACTGGGAAAATATCACAATATTCGAAAATGGCAACACCTCCAATCGGCCACAGTTTTAAACACAAACTCTCAACTACATGCTCGGAACCATATACTAAATAAAACTCTGTGCCAACCGTAGAGAAAAAGAAAACGCACACTTGTGCAAAATTTCATTTGTCGAGGTTGTTGTGTAGAAGAAACAGAATGTCGTCAACTCGGACGGATTAAGACTTCTTAAATTAACACGCGCTAATAAGAAGTCTTTCTTCATTGGTGCACTTGATGCCACTGGGGTGGTATGCACAAACTGCGCTACAAGAACGAGGTGCGGAAACTCGTGCTGGTGAAAGTTCCACCACTTGAGAGGACCAAATTCGGTCTTCTCAATATATATTTGTAGGCAAAGAAGCCACTTGCAGGTTTCTTCTACATCCTTCTGGCTTGTACGTTCTAGTTTGTTTTTTGCCAGAAAGTCTTCTGCCCTTCTCCCTGCCAAAGAAGAACACGCTTTCCAGGACAACTGATACTCCTGCATTCTTTGCTTTTTCTAGGGACAGTATTTTTGGCGAGATAGAATGTTCTAGAGCAATCTTTAGTGAAAATCAAATCTTTATTGACGTAAATAATGATTTTCTCCTTGATTGGCATCTTTAATCTAAGAGTGTAGTTTGCCCCTGCAATACATTCAGTGATGCACTTCATAGTATAACTCACTCACTCTACACTGTGCGGTCCCACACGTTTATGGGCCGCCTCGGCAAAAGAATATGTAAATCGGGACCCGCGGATATCTGCATCCGACCCGCAAAGCTTGAATATTTTTATCCGAATCCGCCAGTTTACTGCGGATATCCGCGGATATGCAGGGCTCTACCTATTTGGATAGAGGTGAAGAGGTCGGAGAGAGAGAGAAAAAATATATTTATTCATATGCCGTCTACCAGTTCTTGCCCACCACGTTTTTCACATGCTGAATGAGGACTGGTAGGAGCATATGGTTTGCATCAGGTAGTAGGGTGAGCCAGTCCGTTTCCGAGTGGGGTTGCTTATCGAAGGGAGGGTTGAACATGGGAGCAGTGCCATAGGCAATGCTCTAGGGAGGCGTATTCGTTGCAGCGAGGACATTTGGGGCACCCGGGAAGTCACCATGCGTGGCGGCGGAAGAGTGGGGTCGTAACAGAGTTCGCCCGAAGTCTGCGGAAAAGGTCGGAGGAACATTTACAAGCCCATGTTTCGACGACCTAGTTTCATCCGGAAAAATGTCAAGCCCGAAAAAAATGGCACATGCTTGTTCCTCCCAGAGTACGTCGACTTGATTCCTTCACACTCGTGTCCTGTGCGCGTCCCCAAGACCAAATTTGATAATCGTGTCTATACGGCCTCAAAGCTCGATCTGTGCCTTTGACGTGTGGCAACACTGGTTTACGCCGTAGTCGAGAGATTTAGCCAGTGGAGTACCATTGTGATGCACGACCGATCGCGCACGTCGGTACAATGCTCGTCCAGATCGGAATGGGAATCGACCCCAGGATCCCCGGGCTGCGTGCGCCGACACGTTCGGGCCACTGATCCCCCATTGTGAGAAACTGTCGCAGATCACTTCCTTGGTCAATGAGTCGGCTGGAACGAAGAGGGGGTCGCCGCACCGAAGCAAGGAGCCTCGAAGGACCATAGTGTTTGCAACCTCCACAACCTCGTGGAGTGTGCCTGCTCAAGACTTGCAGCTTGTTGCGGAAACATATCTGTAACATTTCGTCTAAAAAAATACATCCAAATCTTAAAAAAAAAAAAAAAGTTGGTGTAAGTTTGAATGTTTTATTTCCGAAAGGGAGAGAAATAATGCTCACTCGTATCAAACGGCTTCATCTCCAAATTCAAGGTTTGTTTCAAGTGAAAAAGCTTCGACCTTGTGACATGTTAAGCTTCGACCTTTCAATATTAAGCTCTATATCCTTCTTTTTTTTATATAGTCAGGTACACACCAGGGAAGCAAAATCCCCATCCATACTTTAATAGCCCCAACGGTTCAGTCTGCTCGAGACAAGGCATCGCAAAATACATGGAAAGATTTGTCAACAAACATTTACTACATAAACACTGAAACCGAATAATTCTTACTCCTTTATATCGTGCGATACCCATTGCAAAATGTACAAACTGTGGGTGCTATGATAAAAGTATGAATTTCAGACATTTGTGTTACAAGAGGCTATGCTTAGAAAAGCAAAACAGAATGGGTATGTGCTTCTTTAAAAAGGCGTTAAAAATAATCATAAAACTTAAAAGAAGCTATGATAGAGCAAGTGTTTTTTAGAGCTTCTCACAGTCCAGTCTACTGTGGGAAAATCTGAGTCAGTTGAAGGCAATGGCAACAGATAGCTTTCAGTAGCCAAAATAAATAGGAGCTGCAGTTTGACGATCACTCTGCTTTTTTTTCCATACAATATTGGTAGACAAAACACAAAAATAAAGGTCACTATTTGCAACACAAATCCATTAGATGATACAACGCACAAACCAACTGAGAGCTTCTAAATTGGTTGCAAGCAGAAATGAAAAAACACTCCATTCAAGTATTGAGGACATGTTTGCCCCTAAAACAAGGTATTGCCCAGAATCGAACAGCTGAACTACTCAACTTGGCATAAGAGGTACTGATTATATCTGTGACCTGCCTGTTCAAAGTATGCGGTGTTTTAACATAGCAAGGAAGTCCTATAAGGTATATATATGCTCTTAAGTTAAATCTGAGGCACTTTTATTGAACATCAGTGCAAACTGAAACTGTTGGATTGCCAGCCCGTAAACTAAATACAGACTTGAAAGAAATGTATAAATTCTTAGTGCCCAGGTCTTTCAAGCAATGTTGAACAGCCAGAAAGCATAGCCAGACTTTGCACAGTTGTCGGCCTGGATGCTTGTCTTGATGCATAATGCCAGAGTCCCACTAGAGCGACAAATGGAAACAAACCACAATTACAAGCCTCAAACCGGAGTCTTTCGCAATTCGACAGGCTTTGTAGAATAAAGGAGGCTATGCTCAAACACAAGCATCATGCACGCAAGGCTATCCTTGGCAGGCTTGCAATCACTCGTGCTTACTTGTCGAGCACCGAACGACTAAACACCTGCAAAGGTACCATCGCGAGCATGCTGCATCTGTTTGTAGCTTGTCGCTGTCTTTTGTTTCTGTTTGTCGCTCTAGTCGGACTCTGGCATAACAAGCACTCTGTGCTAGGAAATATGTCTTTTGTATCGTTCCCTTGTAAAATTATAAAAGGGAACCTGTAAAACTGATTTGACAAGTGTAAATGCGGAGCTCTTAGCAAAATGTTTCTGTTCGGGCATTCGCGCAAGCAGCCTGCCAAAGCACAGTCCAGTGCCTTGTTCAATGGGTACATTAAAAATAAAAAGGTGAGCAAAACGAGCCCGCTCCTAATATTCATACTGAAGGGAAAAAAACAAAACTCACACATAAAAAAGGAATGCATTGCTTCTTCAACACAAAACAAATTTAGCAACAAATACATGAGAAAATCGTAGTTACAGGCCTCCATAAATGCAGCACTCTGTGCATTGTTAAGTCGGTATAAATAAAGCACTCCTTCACACTTCACACTTGTTGACCTCGCACCGAAATCACTTGTTTGGTTGACAAAGTCGCCACCGATGTTGCCACAACGCGCCTCCGTACACGGCGTCAATTATTTTACGCAACATTTTTTAGGCCAGCGTAGCTTCTGCTGTGCTCCGGTGCGTCTCCTTTGCACGAGAGCGGGTACAATTGACACTCGAGACAAAGCCACGTGCTCTCGTATCGGTTCGGGCAACAGCACTGCGGAAGCTGTGCTAGCTCCGACAATGTGGCACAAAATAGTTCACGCCAGGTAGTGACCGACTTGTTCACCGGAACCACGAATCTCCGTGCAGACCAAACAGAGAAGGCGTGCCACTTCTTTGGCGCCTCGCTGTCGGTGGCGACAGACCCTCCGAGGTCAACCGAAGGTCAGCTCAAACTGGAGGATCTCGTCGAACTCCGCCGCCTTTTTGTCTGCCCACTCGTCGAAAGCAGCCTGAAAAAAATGAAAATGTTCCGTGCGGTCATCTTGAGCATGCGCTTTTCTTTTGTGACCAGAAGAAATTTTCAAAAGTTTGCTGAAGTGCGACTCGCAAACGCCGCTTGGGTGAGGAAACGCACGACATCATGGGCATGCTGGCACGGTTCTGACCGAAGGTTATAATCTGCGAGTCATGATGCGCCACGGTAAGTGTACCTAACCTAGCTTAGGGCTTAAAAACGCACACTGTAAACCACGTCCTCAAAGCATAGGAACGCACACTGTGAACCACATCCTCAAAGCATAGGACTGAAGTTCCAAATGTAATGGGGTTTCCACACAAAAAATATTACCGTAATATCCCGAGTCATCGCCCACCCCCCTACCGCCTGAAATTCGTTAAAAAAGTGGGGTGGGCCATGTCTCGGTGGGTGAGCACAAACACTTGAAAAAAAGCGAAAAAAACGCCTATTTTTCTCTGCATATCTAGCGCTGATGCACAAGAGATACATCAAACTCAAAACTCGATTTAGTTTCATTGTTTTATAGAAAAAAATGCTCAAGAAAGAATATTTTACTATAGCGAAGTCCGTTGCTTGCATACCCGCTAGAAACACCGCCGATCTGCGTATAGCGCGAACGTTTGTTCCGTGAAAGAATGTCACCACTATGTTCTCCTAGTTAGTAAAAAAAAAAAAGAAAGAAAAGTCTACAAGAAAATAGAAAAACCGACCAGGCGCAACGAGCGAGTGAGCGAGCGAGCGGACCAAAGAAGCGACCAAGAGCAATGCTGGGAAAGCGGGAAAGCCGGCGGTCGCGTTGGCAAATACTTTGGCGTCGGGCCAAGTCGGGCGCCTTGTCAATTGCAAGCTCTTGCGCAACTTTCTTGTTTGGTGCGTACATACGTGCGTCCGTGCACGGCGGGCTATCAATGCACGGTTGGGGCGCTCTGCAAACGTCTGTGTAGGACGTTCCAGGCTCCAGCAAAGCTTTATTTACGCTTTGGCTTTGCCTAAAATATTGCACAACCGCAGTCGCGACGGGCGGGAAGAAGGAGCGGGTTCGCGGTGACCTTACTTCGGCGGAGACAGGCTTTGACCTAACACTCCGCGGTTACATTAACAAACTCTTATTTTGTTATCTCCATCGTTTTCTTTTCGCACGGATACACGACCACTTTGGGGTCGCTCACGAAGGAAATGCGTAAACAAAAAGAAGTGACTTTCCCTCCATCGTTTTACTTTGTCACGGACGTCCTCCAACTGTAAGGTCCGCGGCCGCGTCATTCGGGTAGGATGAGTGTTCGCGGATCGCAGAGTCCGCGCTGGGGTATTTGAAGGGATGGGCGATGACTCGGTGTTTTTTCGGAAATTGATATTGGCCCAAAAAATGGGGTGGGCGATGGCTCGGGGATGGGCGATGACTCGGGATATTACGGTAAGCTAAGTAATAAAAAAAAAATGTCTTTCACAGTGAGTTTTGCCTAAAGTAGAGCAGTCAGCCGGAGAGTTCCAGGGAAATTTTGATAGTCCCTGATTAGCCCCAAATTCGATTCAACACATAAGTTCATTACTCAGAACTACAAGATCACAAGTGGCAATACTTTCGTTTTTGGCAAAGTTACTAAATGTTTAATTTTTTTTGTCCGAGAGGCTGAAAAGCTCCACCGGAGCATTGAAAATGCGACGTCAAATGCCTTAATATGGGGGCAGAGCAGCTCTTTCTCCGACGGGCAGCAAGGAGTTTGACGGTGTGAAACGAACGCTGGGGAAGCTCGCAACAGCAAAACGAAGAACGATGCACAGAACACTGCATTTTTAGAGTGCCTGCTCGACTTGCGAGTTATACCACGCGTGACGTCGGCCCGCCAGAGAGGGCGGCAAAATTCGTGTTCGTTTTGGCATTACCTTTGTTTGCGTTTTCTCAAGAGCTATATTGAATTTAGAGATAATAAATAGCATGTCACAAAGAGTAAAGCGTGGGTACCCCGAACACGTGCTTAGTGCGGGTAGCTTTAAAAAGTCCGCAACCTTTTTGCTGTGGTATGCGTAGAAGTGGCAGTGATGGCTCAGTGGGCGGAGGCATTCACGCTCTGCTTCGATACAAACAGCATGGCATCCCCCCTCCCCCTCCAAATAGTGTCCTAACTTTGCGTGGCCTCTCCACAAGCGATCACATTGAAATCCAGAGAAGCGAGGCGATATCCTGAGGCCCACACCGGCCCCACGGCACTGCTGGTGATGATTATTTGTGGCTCTTTCCTTTGAATTGGGAGGCGAGAGATGCTGAAGCCCCTCAATGTGTTTGCATCGAGGCCCTCGGAGGCAAACCGAGGCTCAGCACCTGCTCGTGGCACATGTCTTGCACATTCGTACAACAATGGTTGGCGGTACTTCTTGCGAGAAATGCAGAGCGTGAATTTCGTCGAGCGACCTTAATCCTTTCACGGTCGAGTTTCGTTTTCAAAAAATGTGCACCAGTAGATGAGTATTCTTAGAAATGGATAGAGTACAAAAAATAAATAAATGCACAGGATTTCTTTTTTTCTTTTACTATTTCAATGGGAGCACATGCAGAGCTTGCGAGCTGTTCAAATGAAAAAAACATCAGATGGAAATGTTGAGGGTGAAAAGTTGCACCGTTTCTTTCATTTGGTTTCGTTTTGGTCCATTTGCTTCCCTATAGCTTTCGTGACATTCTGGCGGTTAGATTCCGAATTGGAGGTACACATCGCGACACTGTTAGCGCAAACACCACGTCGGCACATTTTCGCATTTTACTTCTAAATAGTATTAGCGAGCACGAAATGTTATTGCTTGCATTATAGAACTAAATGAGCTCTTTCCATAGCATAGATGACATCCCTTGGTTTCAAAAAGAGAAACAGGAAAAACCAGTGATCGCTTGTTCGCGCTAACAGTGTCGCGCTCTGTACTTTACAGAGCTTCTTCATCGGACGATAAGCTCTCAACCTGTGAACCTCTGAAAAGTATTGCACATTCCGAGAAGTATTGGACACCACCAGCAGATCAGCTGACACGCGAAGCGGCCATCTCCGGCGTATCACGTGCACGAAGCGTCCAATTTCGAAACTACAAAAAGTCCCAGCAAAGCGAAATGCAGCACTAATAAAACAACTGTAGATGCCCCAAAAGAAGTGCAGACCGGAAGTTTGTCTGCTTCTTGCACGGGGTCTGCAATGACGTCAGACAGCCGAGCTCTTATTGGCTGCTTGAAAGAAATAGTGGGCAGACCCCGAGGCATATAGCATTCAGGTCTACCCACCATCCTTTCAATCAAAGCCAATCAGAGCTCGGCATCGTTCCGACGTCACTGCAACTCCTGCGGAAGGAGCAGACGACTTGCTCTCCGCGTAACAGACAGCAGGAACTCCCGAGGTGCGTGCGGTTTCACGATTAGGCGGGAACTTTAAAACGTGTGATTGCCGCACGTGCACGTCAGCGACCCTCAAAGGGTCAAGAGGCGCCAAGTGTGCCGGCCATCTCTCGGCCGAGGGGTGAGCTAGTGTTTTCTGCCGAGCGCAACGCCATGAATGCAGCTGGCAAGACCCCATGACGCCTGTCAATGTAAAAAGAAAGGCTGACTGGAGTTTTCTCTACTTGAATTTGATACTCGGATGTAGGACTGAACCACAGATGCTCTGCAGGGGAAATACAGTTAATTCGGATTTATCCAATGAACTCTGAATTTGGATGTGCCAATGCACCCCTTTTCCCACTCCCCTCCCCCCCCTAAAAATAAAAACGAAAGACATTACTTTTGCAATAAAGTCTGATCAGCGCACAGGGTTCTTGGTCCTGGGAAAATGACACCACAGTTATCTTTCAAATATCAGACCATAGTCCAAAGAGGTGTTGCAGCTTATTTCGTCAAGGCTTATTTGGGACAACAGGCCATTGTACTTTCGGGTCACAACAAAAGCCACTGTCTTAATTTTTCCAGTTTGGGCCATACTCTTTGTACCTTAGGCTTAGAGGAAGGAAAGCTTGTGTTTTTGTAACAGTGATAGCTATGTACCATAGAGATTGCATAAAATGGGGAAGAGAGGCAGTTGAAACTTTTCTATTACGTCCTTCATCACTCCACCTCGTGCGGCTGCGGGGTAGGTCGATGGGATAGGATGGGATGAATGTGAGCTTCCTAGCGACCACCTCGAAGAGTTTATTGATTTTAAGGTGTCAACGTTTGTCAAAGTAACACTTGTGTGGAACTTTTGTCATGAGCCAAATTAGTATTGCCAATGGCAATAATACCATTGCCAATACAGCTGAAGAAATATTAATTGACACAAGTGCGCCTTATTTTTTTTTTTTTTTTCAGCATACGTTTAACTCAGAATTTCAGAGAATGGGAAACTAAAGAAAATTAAACTCCAATAAACTCCTAAATTTCAGCAAAAAGCGAACTCATGAAAACAACCTCTGAATATGGTGAAAAATAAACTTTGAAAACCCAAAATTTTACTTATATGGCACACACACACACTGTATCTTACCTCATGGGAGCACTATAATGGTGGCGGCCAAAGAACTGCTCCACGAAGTAGCACTCGGTAAAAGAGCCTGAGCAGGGCTTTCCCATTGAGGCCGCTCGCTCCTGGCCAACACCACGGCTGAACCAGGCACAACGTAGCAATCTTGCCAGACGGCCGATGTTTGCTTTTCATCACTCCGTCGTACCACGATGCACAGAGGCGGCTTTTAAAAACGCAGCGTCCACCGCCCAACCGCAATTTCAACCTCGGGCGAGCGGCCTCCACAACTTGGGCTGTTCCACTGAGTGCCACGTCGCGGAGAAGGTCTTTGGCTGACGCCAGGATAGCGCTTCCACGAAATAAGGGGCACTTTGCGCGTGCCGCATAAATTTGGCAAACGCTGCGCCTGAGACATTGTCCGATACAGTGCAGCAGTAGTGCTGCAAAGTACTGAATGCTCGTCAATATCTTGTTGAGAATGCTAGGATTTCCCAACAAATGCTATGGATCGATAGCTTTACTTTTTTATTTAAAGGGCACTAAACGGACAGACGCCCGTATTTCGGCAACTCCGGACGACTCCGTGAGGCTAATGCAAACATCCCGTGTATCGGGAAATGCTCCTTTTCGTGCTCTGAGCATATCTTAACTTCCATTTTTAATCAAAATGCATTTGGGATTAATAATGCAACATTTAAGACGACAGCAATACTTCTTTCACCGCAACCTGGCAAAGAGCGAATGCTACACCCCTTCGTGCCAATCGGAGCGAAGGAAGCGATGCACGTAACAACCTTTACCAAAGATATAGGGGTGGGAGGCCGCCGAGAGCGACACCCAAGAAGTTGGAGAGGCGGGGAAGGACTTGCTTCCCTTTTACACAGATCCTCTCCTGCCAGTACCAGACGTTGCTTCTGTGCCCCTTGCCCCCTGGAGATTAGCCAGTCACTCGAAATTCGCACAGAAGCAGCTGTCCTCCCCAGTCGCGCATCGTAAGACCAGTTGAACCCCCACCCAGAATCCTTCTCGATTAACTCGTCCCAGTTGACTCCCAATTTCTCCCCAAATGGGAATGATGCAACCAGATGACTTTCAATGGGGAGTGGTGACAACCTGCTTACCCCTCAACTGGACCCGGTTGGCCTTTCAACTGGTCCCGGCCGAACTCCAATTGGTCCCCGTCGAATCCCAGGTGGGACCAGTCGATCCCCGTTTCCGATTCCAACCGATCCCAGTTAGACATTTTCACCCAAGTCTCTCCTCTGCCCGTGGCTTCAACAGCACTGCAAGCAACTAGTTATAGTCCCGAAAGTTTCCCTTTGACGTGCCGGTCAGCTCATTGGGACTGTAGCCTTCATAGTTCTCCAAGTTAAGGCGAAAATGAGTGCAGCATGCTTATGAAGACGTGGGGAATCCCGGCGTTTCCGGCCTGGTTCCCCAATCGAGAAAACCGCGGCAGGACCAACCTTGCGCTTCTTGTCCGGCAGCTTGGAAGGCGTCGCCTTCTTGGCTTGCCTCTTGACCTTTGACGTCAACGGCTCTTCCAAGAGGTCCGTCACGGCTGCCCCATCCTCTGGATCTTCGAAGAGGTTGAGTGCTCGACGCGCCCCGCGCACCGGAGTTCGGCTGTACGTCCGACTCACGCGCCGCACAGACAGCTCGGGACTCCACACCGCGGTGCCTCTCTGTTTGGAGTGGTCGGGAAAACCGTTTACTTATTTATAGATTTTGTATACCTTCGGGGCTCCGAGGACATTGACACTGAAGCAAGGAGTGGGTTAAGAGCAAGGTTCCGTGTTTTCGGGGGGTTATTTTTTTTTCAAACTTGGGGCAGTCTTTTTTTTTTTTTTTTTTTTAAGGGGGGGGGGGGGGTAATTGTTTTCCACAGATTTGGGATTTTTCAGAGTCGATTCTTAGTGTTGGATGAAACATCTGGGTCTATCAGGGCTTGTGCTGAAGAAAATTGGACACGGGGACACTTTCAAACACTCTGGAAACACCGGGGACACTTTTCGAACACTCTGGAAACAACCTCCCGAACACTCCAAGGACAGCCCCCCAAACTCTCCCGGGACAACCTCCCGAACACTTTGGGGGCAGCCTTCTGAGCACTCCAGGGACAACCTCTCGAACACTACGGGAACCTCCCCAGAGTGTTCGGGAGGACGTCCCCGGAGTGTTTGGGAGGATGTCCCCGGAGTGTTTGAGAGGTTGTCCCAGGAGTGTGTGGGAGGACGTCCCCAGAGTGTTCGGGAGGACGTCCCCGGAGTGTTTGGGAGGGTGTCCCCGGAGTGTTTGAGAGGTTATCCCAGGAGTGTTCGGGGAGTTGTCCCCAGAGTGTACTGGAGGTTGTCCTTGGAGTGTACAGGAGGTTGTCCCCAGAGTGTTTGGGATGTTGTCCCCGGAGTGTTTGGGATAGGCCTCCTGCGCTGAAGCTTTGAACAAACTGTAGCGCCCTCATTTTGGGTAGTACAAGCTCACCCGATTGAGCCTCGCGCTACTTATGGCACATTGGTTGAGCTTTTTTTTTTTTCTGTGTGGTGCTGAAGAACGGAAAGACACCTTTAGGCACCCTAAATCGAATAGATTCAATGCCATAAGACAATCGAAAATGCCAAAATCATGCTACCACCGCTAGGGTACGCGTCTTTTATCTCTGGGTGGTGACGGGAAAACATCTGTATCGTGCCACTTTCATTTTTATTTTTTCTTTCACTTCTACTTCTGCCCGCATGAAACGGCGTCTTTTGGCTCACGCTCTCAGCGTCTTAGCTTTGATTTGTGCTTCGGGGGCGTTCGAATTTTTGTTGTTTCTTTGTATTTTTCTGTCCTCGCGTTCCGCACCAGGGCTGGTGCGCTTCTGCATGCGTGACAGTTTGAGAAGCTCAAATTTGAACTACCCAAAACAAGTTCCTTTTTGCAACGACCCCTGGGCAACGCAGGAGGCCCACGTTGTCCCCGGAAGGTTTAGAGGTTGTCCCCGGAGTGTTCGGGAGGTTGTCCTTAGAGTGTTCGGGAGGCTGTCGCCGGAGCGTTTGGGAGACAAACGCTCCGGGGAGAGCCGTAACGATAAGAAAAAGAAATGAGATAGAACGCGTGGTTCCAAAGCGAGGGGAAGCCTCGCACACAGTTAATTGGGTCCTGCTTCCGGGTCAATGCAGAATAAAGCCGTATACCAAGATTGTCTTTCTTCTCCTTATTTGAAAACAGCTCCGATTTGGGCTTTGTCAGTTTTCCCCGACTTCGATAAACAAAACCTTTGGGATCAATTTTCGGGGTTTGTCGGTATTTACTGAAAACATGGAACCCTAGTTACAAGGTACAGTAATTTCTCAATAATATGAAGAGCACGCTATACAGACAATGTTTTGGGGGACAAACTGGGTCAATACATGCACTTCTGTCATGTTAGAAAACTTACCTTATGAATGCTTTTTGGGAGCACGGAACTGTCCATATTAAAAACACAACACTGTATGCAAACCAAAAACGACAATGAATTCCAAAAATACAAAATAGTTGCCCATTAATAAAATACTAAAATACTGGCTCTATAATAAACCCAAGACTAAGAAAAGTGTAAAAAAAGGACAATCACGCATGCCTCAAACACAAGAGTAACGGTGTTTAAAACGTTCTGTATGTCGTTGTTTTTTTTATAACTTTTTTAGTCAAGTTTTCTTATAGACCGACACGCTGTTTACAAACAAGCCCTCGTTTGCCCCCACCAGGTGTGGGCACTGCGCGTGCGCAGAAACTGAATTCACGTGAAGTGAATCGCCTGCGCATGCGCAGTGCCGTTGACAGCGCCACCGCAGCTGCGTGACGTCACGGTCGCGTGTAAAGGAACCCTGACACTATCCAAATTTTTTTTTTAATTTTTTAGGAGATTTTATTATGATGTCAGAAGATTGCCCAATCAATATTTTGCTAGTGTCACATATATTTTTAATAAAGTAAAAAAACGCAACTGCTAAAAACCGAAACCACAACTGGACTGGGTGGGGAGGAAGATACAGAGAGGATAGCGTTGCCAAAAATCACGTGGCTGTGCATCATTTTCTTTTTTTTTTTTAAATTAATGTATTTGTAGTTTCTTAGAAGCCACAAATTATCAATATCATATTTTGTTTCTGTTTTTAATATTGAGTGTGTACCTTCGATGACCTATGACTTTGATTATCTTTGGTGGTTTCCCTCTACGCGTAACGCTAGAGTTTCAGAGGGAAAGCATTGGACTTGAAATGGCCTGCCCCAACTTCGAATCCCCACGTTTCAAACCTGTGGCAACGCGTTGGCGTAACACAGCTTCCGGAGGCTCGACCTTCCTTGGAGAAGCCACGGAAGGGCCGCGGTGCTGACGAACGTCGGTAGACGAGCGGCGTCTGGTTTACGCGGACGCATATGTTGCATTCTGAGCGACCCCGGGCGACGTACCGACATGACGCAACGAGGAAGCCGCCGGCACAACTGCTCAGTTGCACCGACCGCCAACGACGCGTAAATGAACGACGCAAGAAACGAGCAGAAATCGCTGAAGGACCCGTTCCACTTGGTTCAGTGTTTTCCTGCTAGGTGCCATCCATTTTGCAAAAGTCTCAAGAAGTTGAAAAAAAAATTCAACAGTGAAGTTCAAAAAGAAAAAAAGAAAAGTCGCAAAAATTGTACAACGCAAAAGCGTAACACGTGTTGTCCTCGCCAGGCTTGGCGGGGAAATTCAAAATTTCATGCCAGATTTAGCGGGAAAGACTAAGTTTCTAGGACTGGGAGACAGCTGTACAATATGTGGGCTTCCAAACTTTCCATCTCAAGGAACACCTCCCTCGACTGATGTCCAACAAACCCTTCCCTGCATTGGCAGTGATGCAGTGCAAAAGCCCAGGCCCTCTAAACAATCATTCAGGCGCTAGGGAGTGATTGGCTCATTGCTGCGCATCAGCAGGCAGTTCGGATCCAATATTTTCCGTAAACGAGAAAAACGCTTTACGTGGCTGCGGAGACTTAAGCGCGATCCAAACCAACGCTTCTTTTTGCGCCTGTAGGTCGTGCGGCTGCGGATGTGACGTATTTTCGTGATGTCGCGCCGCTTCTTCCGGGCGCGCACAAGAAAGTTGGATAATTTCAACTCCTTCTCAACGCGCACAAAAACGCGCGGTGACGTAGTAGGGCGCTCCTGTGTCCCGGCCAATCGGTGGAGGGCAAGCTAATTCCGGCTCCGCGTTTCTCGCCGTCTGGCTGCCCTCTCCACCCCCCTTTTATTCTCTTCCAACATGACAACGCGATCTCTCTCTCTCTCTCTTCCTCTCGCCGTCTGTCGCAATTGCACTTTGCTTGTGCGCTCGTGCCGAAGTTTCGCCCGTCCAAACCAAAGCGCACGGTTCTGACTCAGAAAGCGCGCCCGGAAACAGCAAAAACGTCAGGAAATGCGTCACATCTGCAGCCGCACGACCTACAGGCTCAAAAAGAAGCGTTGGTTTGGATCGCGCTTTAGGAATTTGGGAGCCCCCGGGGTTAATCTGGGGAATCCCTGGATTCCTGAAAAGCACAGTTTGAGAGCCCGTGGTTTTGTTTAAAAAGTGACCAAGTGCAAAAAAAAAACAGCTGTTCCTTAACCCTTCCACTGCGGAGAGTGTCTTTAGACGTGTCTCTGTTTTAATCTTGAAATGGGGAATGCGTCCAAAAATATGCAACGCATCTTTCAAACAAATAGAGCGCGCAGTGAAACGCGTGGCAACTTTTGCCGGAGGATGTACACATTACCAAGTATGGCCTCCAGGTGCGGCCATCTTGCTCAGTTGGAGTGCGCTTGGGTGCAGCTATAATCCAATTGAATTACCACGCACCCAAGAGCACCTCAACAGAGCAAGATGGCGGCGCCCTGAGGCCATACTTGCACACATGTATGGTGCTGCCGTCTATGGTACACGATACCAAACACGTTTACATTTATTTGGATCCGCTGGCTGGCGAAATAATTTAATTGCTTTGATACAGAATAGTTGTTCCTTTTCTCAATCAAGATGCTCGGAAGCGGTGCAGAGCGACGCGCTAACTGCGGTGCTGCTTTGGCGACGTGGCCACGATGACTCAAACACGAACACCCATACTCATGACCTACCATACAAAATCGAACGTTCATAAATGAAAATCGTCGTCTCTTCTCTGTACTCCAACACAAGAAGCAAGTAAATATTCTTTCACAACTATAAAAAAAAAAAAATATTTAGTGCAAAATTGATTTTAAAGATTTTCTTGTGAAAAAACACTTTTCAAGGCATGGTCGCACACCCAAAAATTACTCTCTAAGTGTTGAGACTCCCTCTCAGGCCTTGCATGACCATTCAACGCTTTCCTGGAGACACAAAGCAAAGGAAACTTTTTACAAACCTTGCGTTTACGGATTGGAGACTCTCCGAAAGGGGAAGATGCACCGTCCCAAGAACAACCTCCTGCCGCAGAAAACGAGGTATGCATGGGTGATGGCGTCAATCTCTCGCGCTGACGCGGCACCGTGCCAGAGGTCTCTGCACATGGGACAAGGAATACAAAGGAATCAAATGTGCAACTGGTCAGAATCTAATATTATAGTTAGTTTTAAATAACTATCGAATAAATGGCTATTAAAGACGATGCCAAACCAGCATTCAGATTTATTCGTGATTTCCAATGACGCGACATCACTCGCTGGAAGACGTACTGGCTGAGCAGGCAGTCTAGAAAACATAGTACTGTAAACAATTTTTGCAGGCTCAAATTTTTGCAAATCAGTCCAAAGCTGAAGACTGGGTTCTAGTTCGCGAATCGAAAATCAGAACTCGCGACAACCCTGAACCGAGGTGACCGTAAATTCCAGCTTATTGGATTAGTTTCTTTCGCGTATTCTAAACACTAATATTATTAATAGAACATATGTAATGACCGTGTGAGAACCTTTGCTTCCGTATTTTTCCGTTGCTAGATAACTGCTCAAGGAAGCCCAGCTTCTCGATGCAGCTTTCTAAGCGTCAACACTTTGCTCGAATTGTTTTCAGCACCTGTTTCGCGAATACCTAACCGGATTGTTTACAGCCAGGGATGGGCAGTATTTCAAATACAAATATTTGAAATACGTATTTCAAGTACTTTGTGTATTTTGCATTTATATTTAATTACAAATTGGGCAATGTATTTGACGTGTGTATCTAAATACTAAAATGTGGGTATTTTAAATACAATTGTAATTAAATACAATTTTGTGGGCGAAAATACATCCCTCAAATTTATTGTCACGACTCATTTTGCTCATCCTAAGACGTGTCCAGAGCAAGAAGAAAACTACGTTCCTGCACCGAATGCAGTGTCTCTCAATCAAGCACAAGCGTTTAGTGACTTTGTGATTCCGGTGCTAGTCCAGGGCAAGAATAGTGACGAAATCGACGTTCACAGGCAGACTGGCTAAATAAGTGCCTGTGACAACTTGTGATGCTTTCCAGCCTGATTTCCATCCATTATTTTGCCTGGAACATTCTAAATGCGCGGGTCGTCCAGATTTTCGTAACTGGTGCGAGTTGCAACAATAAAAATTTCTCTAGCTAGTGCTGCGCGTCTTGGTTGTCTCAGTTCTTTGTTGGTCTATACCAAAATGTAATCGACAAAAAAGCTGCTTGAAGCTCTGTACTTTTATCACCTAAACGTCCAAGCTGATTACATTTTTTTTTTTGTGATTATATTTTTATTACGTTACTAGAGCCTCGCACACTAACTCCCGAGTGTGCGATGCAAAATTAAAATGAGATACCCAGAAACCCGTTGCAGGTGCCCTGAAGTCACTGACGCAAATTTTGAGGAATGTATTTGGAAAAGTATTTGGAGGAGACCAAATACCTTTGGTTGTATTTGTATCTTGTAATTAAATGCTTTTTTGGAAATATAATTAGATCTGTAATTAAATACATTTCTGACGAAGTATTTTGTATTTGTATTTCGATACATAGTTGCAAGTATTTTGCCCATCCCTGTTTACAGCATATCACACACTTTCAAGCTGCAAGGTGAGCATTAGAGAACGCTTCCTCAGCATTCACTTCACACCGTCACACTTCTCGTAATCAGTTGGAAACAAGTTTCAAAGACCAAGAAATGAATCTGTGACTGCCACTGGCATCACTTAGGACACTGCCGGTAAAGACGTTTACTGCAGAACAACGGTGAGGATTGAATCTAACAAGTTCAATTATGACATGATATGTCGGTCACTATTACAGGGTGTTTCTGAGTGATATTCGAGCGTAAACATATTTTTTTAAGAAACAAACCAATAAATTGAGTGCGATGAAGCTTCTCAGAAAGGTGTTTTTGGGTGGTGCATTTAACCAACTCAAATTTTATGAGTGTAAGGAATTAGAAAAAAAATTATCTAAGCAAAAATAATTAAGTATTTTTGTTTTCTTGTGAACATGAAAAGGAAAACGGTAAAAACCATTCTGGTTCAAGCAGTTACTCACAGGTGGCACAACGTAAAGCAAAAACGTGAGAGCTTCTTTGGGATGAATGCCCAAAAGCAGATCCAGCAGATCAGCACGTCGGATACAGCAGATCTGAACGTGTGCAGTACCGTCTGCAAGTAGCAGCGTGAACCACGTGGATTGTAGCGTATCCCTCTATGGGCATAGAAAAACAGCATCGTTTAGGCTTAAGTATTTTTTTCTGAAACCTACAGTTACGAAACTTGTGTACAATAAATGCACTACCTAAAGATATTCTTGTGAAAAGTTTCAATGCACTCCGTGCACTGGTTTATTTATAGTAATTCTTTTACACCAGAATAGCGCTCACAAATACACTGTAGCTCAGTTGTGCATATCGGTGTGTTGAGAAAATTTTAAAGCAAATTGGCTATCGTGAAAGACAAATGGAAGAGTGCCCCCCTTTAAACGAGGTCAATACGTGCAGACAAGACATACCGAGATCGGCGTGGCTTGCTCCAGCAGTTGCCGCTTCGTTGCTTTGGCGCTTCGACGGAGCACGCCGTCTGCGACGTAGGAATGGGGTTGACGCAGGGTCCCTCCCTGGGCTGTCCATGCTCTCAATCACCTCCACGACGGCGTCCTCCTTTTTCTCTTTCTCTTCCGTAAGAGCTGCCGGAGACTTCTTGCAGATGCGCTGGACAAGCAGACAGTACACATGCGGAACAAGTTGAGACAAATGCACTGGACAAGCAGACGCCAAATCTGCTGGACAAGTGAACGAGATGCACTGACAGACAGACAACAAACATTTGAGCTTGGTATAACCGGTAACTGAACCAATATCTCATAGGTAACTGAACCAATATTCCATGCAATTTGGCACAAAGGGTGCAGCACTTCCATCACTGCAGTTATACTCTTAAACATTCTTAAAATGGACACAATAAGTGGTTTTCTTTATGATTACACATTGGGTTTATATTATTTTCCAGAAATTTTACTCGCATTAGAACAGATGCGACGGCCAGCAACACACAGGATTGGTTGCCGTCGCATCACTAAAAGCAGAAACTCCTTTCCTGGTTTCTAGTAAACCCTAGCCCGGTTTCTGCACGTCGAAACGCCTCGAGAACTGCGTAGCGAGTTCCGTCCCCCGGGGTTGGCTCTGACGTCGCTCAAACGGGTGACAAATGTCAATATTGCTATGACTTCATGGCATCATTGAGGGCAGAGCCGTGGTGCATGCATTGCCAATATATGTTCCTTCCTTCCGTGACTTTTTTCTGGAATGTTCAACCTAGTAATTCCGCAATCTTGATAGTGACTGACAGTCGCACATTTCCTCTGCTCCGCGTATGCTGTATCTTCGTGGTGCTTTGTAGGCTCCGACTGGACAACCCTTTAGCTCCCGACCATCGTGCCAACTGCAGACCTCGGTGTACGTTGCCAGTTTCTTTCCCTCAAACTTTTCCGCATGGACGGCCTTTTCTGCATAGACGGCATGGACTAGGCCTAGCACAACAATGGCGACGGAACACCAGCGCATCTCCCAACCGCGCTGCCGACTGTCTCCAGTCGGCACCACAGGACACCGCCTCAACCTACACACCGTCTGTGTTCTTTTACTTGCCGGCGACATCGCAACGAACCCCGGGCCGCAGCAGCCTTCCTGTGCAAGCTGCACAAAGCGGGTACAGGACAACCAGGCGGCCATCTGCTGCAACCTGTGCGACGGTTGGGTCCACCGCAGCTGTGTTTACATGTCACTGAGCGATTACCGCAAAATAGGTGAAGGAGGCGACCCACGGTTTTGCTTAGCCTGTTCGCTGCCACCGCACTGAGATGACTTGTTTAAGATGCCCGCTGCCCCCAACCCTTTATTTCCCACCGCGCCTGGCATTCCTGACACATCACCACTCCCCAAGCCGCACCATCCGTTCAAAAAGACGGTCACGTTCTGGTACACTAATTGCAGAAGTGTGAGGAACAAGTTGTCAGACCTCAAGCTTGCCTCCTCAGCCCTACCCGGCAGCACCGTCATTCTTCTCACAGAAACGTGGCTAGACGCTGGTGTTAGTGACGCCAAGCTCTTCGGCCACGCATCTTTTATTGTCCATTGTCACGACCAACCATCCCACGGCGGCGACATACCCATCCTCCATGTCATGCCCTCCAGCCTCCCGGCAGTCAGGAGGCATGACATGGAGCACCCAGAGTTGGAGACTGTCTTTCTTGAACTGGTGCCACCCAAAGGGCAGCTCTCTCCTAATCCTTGCTTATTGCCCCTCGTTCACCAAAGCTACCGTCTACAAGCTTCTCGACAAATCGCTACCAAAGCACTGGCAAAGCCTTGTCATGAAGTGCTCATGTTTGGTGACTTCAGCAGCCATATTGACTGGTGGGGTTCCAATACTCCCATCGCTTCTGATGTGACTGATGAAACTCTCCTGGGCCTGGTGTCGACATTAGGTCTTTTGCAGATCTGCCACTCTCCCACCTGCATCTCACCCTCCAGATTCTTCGATCTTCTGTTTGTGTCCCATCCGACCCAAAGCCATGGTGACCACCCAGCTATCGAACTAACATACACCATGGCTCTTCCCCGCAAGGGTTACTTTGCTCATGCAGTATGGAGGTTCCACCGGACTGATAAAGGGCACATGGCTAGGTTGGCTCACCTCACCCCGTGGTACATGACCACTATGGTTGACCACTGCCTGTGAAACATGGACTTTTGGTGCGACTTGCTATGTGAAATCCAGAAGGAGTGTGTACCGTGTGTTGTTTCCCACAGGGGAGCATGTCTGTGCTGCTCAAAAATGCGGGCCTTTTTGAGCGTGCGGTTGTCTGCAGTGCGCTAAGAAACTCTTGCAAGTGAAGGCACTACAGCGCTCCTTGAAGGCCGACCTAGATGATGCTGAAACTGCATTTGCCAACGCCATTGCTTTCTGAGAGCGGAAAGAACCTAGAATTTTTTGGTAGTAATGCAAAACTATTGATAAATGGACTATCGATACAATCAATAGTTTTGCCAAAACTCTCGATAATGTGGCAGAACTATCGATAATGTTGCAGAACAATCAATAGTAGGCTATAGATAGTACTATCAACAGTTTTTTTTACTATCGCTAGTCAGATTTCTAGCGATTATCGATACTATCGATAGTACTATTAATAGTTTTGCACCACTATTTTCTGGTCCTACATCAGCGAGTGACAAAATATGCGACAGTATCCGACCTTCACCTCCAATGGCAGGATAGACTCATCACCTAGGGAGATTGCCGACATGTTTGGCAGCCAGTTCGCTTCAGTATTTACACCTGCTCCTTCTTCCTTACCTCCCCGCCATGGCTCATATATTAACTTGCTGTCTAACCCTAATGTCCGCTCATCCCTCTCTTTCACTTCCTTAGACCTCGAGGAGGCCCTTAACTGCATGAATCCTTCCTCTTCCATTGGCCCCAACAATATCCCTCCCATCTTCCTGTGTTACGGGAAGGTTACGAAATAAACAGGCAGGAATTCGCTATGAACTCCTGTGTTACAGGAAAGGATACCGCAGATTGCGGACGCAGCAGATTCGCATTTCATGGTGCGGAGGGCCCGCGGAAACTAGAGTTCCTGTATATAGCTACCTACAGTAGCAGAGTTGCGCATTCAGCCTCGGCGGGTGGCTGTAGCGCCGGCTTTCCCGCACGCCCTGGATGCTTTGCTCCTCACGTGACTAAGTTTGGCGAATAGCGGCGCCGCGTGCACCGCCGCGCATGGAAAACAGGAGAGGAGGAAAAGGAGGCGGAAAGCAGGGGAACATATGCCGGGGCGCGAGAAACGTCGGCGGAGCGACCGTAAAGGTGGCTTTCTCGCACGGCGCCGGATGCTTTGCTCCTCACGTGATGGATCTCGGCGAATAGCAGCGTAGCGGCGCGGGGAAAACAAATGTGTAACTCTGCTCACCCTTCGGGGGAGCATATCGAGGAACTCCAGCAGAAACCCACCGATAACTTGCATCTCATGGGAATGAATACCGCAAATCGCGGACGCAGCAGATTCAAGTTTTATGGTGCAATAAACATGTGGAAACCCACTACAAACTTGCCTGTCACGGGAGCCAATATTGCGCGCGCAGACAAAAACGCAATATCCGCTATGAACTTATGTCACGGTAACGGATTACGCAAATTGCGGACGCACCAGATTCACATTTCACGGTGCAACATACACGCGGGAACAACTCGCGTGTTACGGGAGCCGATACCGCGTGCGCAGATCGCAGACAAAAACGCAAAAACCCGCTTGTCAGACGAGCCGCTACAGCAAATGGCGCAATTTATGCAATTTCCGGCGGACATCGTGTGACGTCTGATGGGAATCGGGGGGTGGGCGATGTTTCGGAATTTTTATATCAGATATTTAACCAGAAAAACGGGATGGGCAATCTTTCAGAGGCGGGCGTTCTCTCTGAACTTTATGGTAAATACCTGTTAACACTTGTGCTTGATCGAAGTGCTAGATTCGCGCTGTTGGACCGCGTCTTGCTAAGCGCTTTGGAACCAATCTTTTACGATTGCAACTCGATGCTGACGTCACACTCGGCAAAGGAAGGTCGGATAGGCATTGCATAGTTCCCACAAACTGTTCTAGCTCGACAGTGTTGACATACCGTTGTGTCGGAATAAAGAAGGTACAGTCGCCGGCCAATTATTCGGACTTCGCAGGGACCGAAAAAACGTCCAAATAATAGAGCAGTCCGAAAAATCTGCAGATTAAAAAACTTGCCTTTATTATTTCCAAGTGGGCTTAAAAAAGCCGTAAATAGTGCCTTGCTTCAGGTTACGCCTCCGTTTGCGTTCGGCAACTTTCTGTTAGCTTGAGAATCGTTGCCTTCTTTTCTAGTGTTATGGTCGAGTACTTTCTGCGCTTCTTAACGACACATCGCGGCGGCAGAACAGTTCGGCCATGACGTCCAAGCCAGCGTTGTCTGAACGAGATGAGAGGTGCAAATCCAGGACTGCAACATTGCGACTGGCGACGCGAAAGTGGGGCGGATGTGGCGGATGCGCGAAGAGATGGAAGGAAACAAAGCAAAATTATAATTATGATGATGATGATGACGTGCAGCTAAATGAAAAAGAAAAGAACTAGCATAGCGTCACCTAGCAATAGGACTCGGGAGTACTCAAGTAGCGCTGCAAAACCAAGCCAATCCATTTGCAGCCAACACAGAATTCAAAATGGTCGCTTCTCGGTGGTGTTTCCCGCTGATCTCTCGCAATGATTTTGTCCGAATAATTGAACTTTCGGACTTCAAGCTGTCCGAAACATTGGTCATGAATATACACTATTTCTATGGGGTAAGTCACGGTTCCGCCTTTAGGTCCGAAATATCGAACAAGTCCGAATTATCGGAGTCCAAAAAAACAGTCGGCGACTGTATACTAATAACAAAGTGTACATGCCATGTTGCGAAGGTAATCTATTCGGCATTAATTTGAGCTCGATATCACACAAAACAAAGAGATCAAATCAATGAAAGCCCCTTTTCGACGACAGCATTCGTCACCGCTGGCTTAGAAAACAAAGGGAAGAGATTAACCTCTTAATCTAAAATTAAGGTCAGCAATTAAACTATTCAGATGGGAAGGGTCCACAAGGGTGGCGCGGGTATGTTCCATTCAGCAAGCCAGTCGGTCCTGGGCGGACTGTCTTGGCCCGGGACCGTCAGAGCAGGTCGGAGTGCCTCGCTAGGCCTATATTCTGCCAAACTCGCCGAGCTAGCCGGGTTAACAAGGGCTGATCAAACGCCATTTAAGCCAAACACGTTTTAGATAATGGGCATGTTTTACCGAAGCTCGGTTTAGAGAAACGCCGTATATAGAAAAGGAGAGGCTGTTTAAAAGTTTAAAAAAGGCTTTCCTACTCTGCACATGTATTGTTTTATCGCACATTAACCCACCTTCCCCCTGCATTTACGCCGCTTCGTGGTGGCTCATTACAAAAATGTACACTCACCTGACCCATCTGTACACGTCGCTTTGCGGCGGACAATTTCACTGAAAGGAGGCTCATCGCCATTCTCTCTAAACTGGGTTTCTCTATAAAGGGATTCAATAAACGTGGGTCGGTAAAACATAGTTCGCTAAAACTAGCTTCTCTAAACCATGTGCCTCCGGCGGTCACTTCTTTGGTGGGATCCTCGCCATTGTGGCTTTTCCCGGATGTCTGTGGATCCAGCATTCATGTCCACCGTGGTTGGTTTCAAGTAGTTCATTCTTTTTTCTTGCTGCTTGAAGTCGGGACGCGCAAGAAGAGCACATAGAAATATAAATGTCTGTGGGATATCACGACCAAGTAACTGAGCGACACTGTCGGCGATGTTGATCTGATTGTGAAGAAGTGCAAAAGACAGCTCCGGAGCTGTCGTAGGATTTCATTGTAACCTGTGCAAGACCTGCAAAAATTTCGTTTTATGAATACGAATTTGTTTTTACGTTCTGTCGTACGCACACTTTTGGTGTAAGATAGTTTCGTGAATGTGACCTCAGTTCAGCCAGGAAGGTCCAGTCACCAGACTACATGCTTGGAGGGCTCCTTCTCTCGTCTATGCAAGAGCTCCACATCTTGGGTGGCATCATTGCCGCCATAACTCGATTTCAGCCGTCCCGTGGCTAGGGTGGTGGGCAGGTCTTGCAGTGTAATGGGCTTCGCTACCAGGTTTTTCCGGCGTTTCGGACGGGAGACTCTGAAGAATTGTACTTTAACAGGGTAGCTTGCTGGGCTGGTTGGTTGAACGACATAGTGAAAAACAGTGCATAAAAGACAGGACACAAAACAGAAGACAGACAAAGGACATACGCTGACTAACAACCGAAGGTTTACTGGAACTTCCACGTGCGCTCAGTGGAATGCGCAAGTACATGCTCCTTTTTTTCTTTCAACAGATATAAATGTGAAGAAAAAAAAAAGAAAAAGAAAATTTGAAAAAAGATTGAGAGATAGGACCTCATTCGGGCCTAAGGTTTTCTTGTGCCGCTGTAGATTCTTTTCTTACAATCATTTTTCAATTTTTTTTTTTTTTTCTTTATACACATTTATCTTCATCAAAAGAAAAAGAAGAGCATGTACTTGTTAGTCAGTGTATGTCCTGTGTCTGTCTTCTACTTTGTGTCCAGTATATTATGCACTGTTTTTGACTATGACTCTCAAAACACTGTTCACGGCTCTGGTGCTCTCGATTAGAGTACTGATCTTGCACCTGGAGCCCTCACCAGATACACCTCACTGAGCGCCTAGAGAGCGTGCAGCACCGCGCGACTCGAACCTTGGCCCACCACAACTATTCCTCAGACTGCAACGAACGCCTGCGGTCCCTTCGCTGGCACCACCGGAGCCATCATGTCCAACTAGTCACTGTTGGCCCCTCGCTGGTTGGCTCCTACCTAGCCTCGGTCCCCAGATCTCTGGCCAAAGATGCTGTCCTATTCCTCTCCTCGCCCGTACCTGGCGACGTGATGCTTCTGTTCCCCTACGTGGTGACAGCGTACCTTCCTTTGCTGGAGCAGACGCTCTCGCGCCTGCCTGGGGCTGGGAACAAACTCCGCGACTTCAGCAGGAGCTTGTCGCGTGCCCTAGAGCTCAGTAAGTTTTGTATAACCCCAGCCATTTCTCCCTCCACTTCATTTCATTGATGATCACTATCATATCAGATGTTAACACACACCCGAGGAGGCAGCCAATACTTAGCAATGTTATTCAATTGCCTCAGCTACGGAACTGCTCATAGACGCCGCTTGCACGAACAGTACCCCCCTCACTCGCCATGACTCGCCTCCCGTCGCTCAACGTGCTGAACGGCTGCTATTGTAACTGCAGTGTATTCTATGGAATACATACGCTTTGAAGCACAGCGTCTAGATGGTGTTTCAGCTCTGCTCTATGGAACGCACAGTTATGGAACGAAAATCTAGATGGCACCTCGAACGACGGAAGTGAACTGAAGTGATTGAGGGGGGTACTACCCCCCACAAGAGTTCCCCACAAGAGTTCCACAACTGAGGTAATCTAGTAATGTAGGCACTTGGTTGTACAAGCTTCTGCCTTTTGGCTACCTCAGGCATTCGGCTGCGGAGAGCAAGTCATCTGCTTCTCGCGCAGAGGTTGCGGTGACGTCAGAATGACGGCAAGCTTAGATTGGTTCTGATTAAAAGGATAGTGGGTAGACCTCAATGCTATATGCCCTAAGGTCTACCCACTATTTTTTTCAATCAACCGATAAGAGCTCGGCATCCTGACATCATCGCGACCCCTGAGCAAGAAGCAGGCGAAAATGCGCTCCGTATAAACAGGTTGATCACATTTATGCCTGCAGCGATAGTATCACCTTTATGCATGCATTTACGGGCCCCAGGTTGGGTACACAAGCCCTGGTGCATTTATGGGCAGCATTGCCTTTTGTGGCCCTGTATGCCTGGGTATAACCCCCCCCCCCCCCCCCCTTTCTGAGTACAAATAAAGTATTATTATTAGTATTAGAGTGATAGTGTATGCTCGCTTGTGGCGAAAAAAAGAAAAAGGAGGATAGAAGCCTCAAGCATTGTGGCATCATCAACACGATACAAAAAGCTCCACGAAACACTACGTACCGATTTCGCAGAGGTGTTCTCGATGCTTCGGAGGACTTCCTTGGCAAGCCGCTTCACTGCAACGAAAGGCGTCCTTTCAACAGTCACGCCGTGCATACACACGGAAAATCGGGCTTCTCCGACATGCGTGGATATCGAAATTAAAGCTTCGCGTTACTTTTGAGTGGGAACCGTTAGCGCCAGAACGCCACTCACTATGAAGATGACGCTCGCTCAACGGTGGTGATGTGTCAGCCATACCGGCTGGTGACATGATGAGACATGACGCTCATCCTATGCCGGGCGTGACACAACAACTCGTCGAATGAAATACGTACAGATAAACAAGTGAACGTACCCTTTTCAGCGTTCTTTTTAGCCATGATCGGTAGCCCGCCGATAAAAGAGCGCGGAGACGCCTGGAGACGCCAGAGACGAATTTTTGCGCCAGCCAGTACACTCTCGAAACCAGCAAACAGTCAAAAGCGTTTGTAAATTGTGTACGTCTTCAAGAAGCTTACATACACCACGATTTCGTCACTCACGCAACGTTTTGTATTGTGTATTAATGTAATGTATTAATGTAATGTATTAAATTATGAATAAATTGACTTTTATTTTTCTTTGTTTGGGGCTACGGCTCGAAAGATACGGATCCTGGATTGGCTTCCGCAGCGGCTTTTTGTTTTTCGTATCTAAATTTGTTAGATACGCTTCAGTCCTTCAGTCGGTTTTTCCGTGGTTCGACCAGTTCGACGTTGTCTCAGCTTGTCCAGTCGTGTTCGCGCCTGCATCTTATTTAATCGGTCAAAAGTGAGACTGACAGCAGCTAACGGAGCAGCGCGAAATCGCACGAGCGCCGCTGGATCGAAACGATCCAAACGTCGATCGGACCGCGGTGACGCGTCAGTGAAAGAAGCGAAACCCCGGCCGACGCTCGGCGAGGCTCGGCGACTCAGCCGTCCGACATGGATTCGGGGCCCTCGGGGCTCAGGCGGTGCGTCCCCAGGCTCAGCGTCGAGAACCTGCCTGCTGAAGTGGTCGAAGGCATCCTGAGCTACCTCTCGTACGACGAGATAAGCACCAACCGCAGGGTACGAGGCGTTTTCTTGCCGACTTTTTTTTTCTTCTCTCCCACACCTCGTGCAGTGAGGTGCGAAAGGGTAGAAAGCTGGGTCTATGACGCACAAATGGGCGCACGCTTAGATAAGGTGCGTGCTGCCGGGGCGTAAGAGACATGCACAGTGCTTGTCTGGGGTTTTTAAGTCTTGGTATTTGCCTTTAGGTCGAGTGATTTGCGGAGCAGCCTGCCATGTTCGCGGGCGCCAATCAATTTCTGAGTTAATTTTTCTTTTTTTCGCGTCCACCTAAAAGGCACGCCTTTCGCAAGCGTCTGACAAGAATAGTTAGGTTGCCTGTATGTTTAGACAGCGGGAGCTTACTCTGCCTCAAGGGATGTTTCCTGTCCGCACGATGGAAGAAAAATTTTTTAACGTTGCTGTGCGAGTGCCAGCCTGGGGTTTTTAAAACGTGCATCACGCAGTAGTAATACACGACCGCGCGCCGATACGATGCCCATCCAGATCCTAACGGGCAAGGGTGGGGATTAAACCCAGAACACCTGGGATCTGCAGGGTAAGAAGTCCACTCCACGTTTTCCGAGTTGTGCTGCGTGAACACACACGGCCTTCGATCCCCCGAGCCTCTGCCAAAGAAATTCCAGGAAGGCTGTCTTCAGTGATGGTTGGCTAACGGCACTTGCATCACGGGAGGTCGTGCTGTTGCCTCCTTTGGTGGAACTTCCTGAAATGGCTTCGAGTTAGTTGTTGAAAGCATTGGGAGTGTGTGGAGCCCTGCACTGCTTCGCGTAACTACACTCGAAGCGCAAAGGTCTTCGACACGAGCTACGCCCGTGCCCCGAAAAGTGTGCCTGCCAGCCACCGTGCGGGGGAACTGGGAATGCAATAGTATATCGGAGTCTAGCAACAACCAGGTGGCGTCAGCTCTCTTCGCACGGCAGAACAGTCTTGCACAGTGTTTTTGTGCCCTCGGTGCAGAGACCAATCTACTGCTCCATGGTGCCACCAGTCTCGTGAAAGCGTCAAGCCACACTGTCACTCACTGATTGCCAGCTAGGGCGATCTCTGACATGGTTCGGTTGCTAAATAGCCTCAACGCAGTGGTGAAGGCCCATAGGCATGCAGTAGCATGCGACTTTGCCTGTTCGCCACCAGCCAATTCACGTTGTGGCAGGCTGTTCTCAAAAGGAAGTGATAAGGCACCTTACTAGCCAACATCACCATGGTATACTTTATTCATCACTAAGGTGACGAGGTGGTTGGAGGTTTGTCCTCGACGGACCAAATATTCGCCTGTTGTTGGCTGCCTGGCCCCACTCTTTACGCGACAGTATGCATAGAAAGTGTGCTCACGAGATGCAAGACAAACAGTTGATCGGTTCAGCGAGCATATAGGGTGGTTGGATGGTTGATAAACAGCTGTACCTTTGTAACGATTGGTAGCTAGCACCACCTAGGCTAAAAACAATAACAAAAGCCTGATTTCCACTTCCCAGCCAAAGCGTTTCTCTGCCTATTACCAGATCATGAAGATGATCGTCGGGCAGACCTTTGGGGGATCCGGCAAAAGAAACTAAAACATCACCCCCCGGCAAGCGATTCGCCAATTTTCCTCTGGTCGAACCTTGTCGGCGTCATGTAACAGCCGACCCACGGGGGGACAGGGTTGAGAGTTTGGGCCGGTGCCACGCTTGAGGGAGTCCCAATTTTCCTGTGTCCCGCCTCACCCCTTAGCTGTTTAGCTGTGCTAGTTAGAAACTGGGGGCCACCGGTATGTTTGTCAAACCTTCGGGAAGGGCAGGACTACAATTTCTACAACTACTTTCTGCAATTTAGAATCTTATGCTGAATTGTTCTCGTCTCCTTACATACTGCACCATTGTATCCGTGTCTTTAAATTTGGCCCTATACATTTTTGTTTCTCCCGCACTTACCTCAAATAGCAGAGCGCTCCCTCTTGAATTATCTAATAAACCTTCCTTTCTTATGTCCTGCTCCTGTGACCTATAAATCATTAAAGCTGATTTCTCCTGCACTCTCCACTGCTACATCTATTTCTCTGCTTCCTTAACTGTTTTTCCACTGAAGGCATTTGCTCCACCCACATGAATTTCATCCTAAGCTTTCATGTCTGTTTCGTCCATCTCGCGTTCGGACTCCTGATATTACAGGTATTTTAGCTTCTCTGCACTCTCCGCATCTCCTTCATGTCTGTAGGTCTTTAACCAAAATTTATTTTACTCGCTGCCTGACTGCTCTGAAACGATGACCAGCCTATATCACCCTGCACTCCCCTGTTCGGAGCGTTCTCATGTGCCCCTAGAGCTATCCTGCCAACATTCCCAAGTGTTATCTCCAATTTTGTCTGAACTTTAGAACCGGTGCACAAGACTGCTTTACCAAAGGTCAGTCCTGGTACGATTACTCCTTTCCAAACTCCCCACACCACTTCATATTTACCAGGGTTTTATAACGCCCTGTGCTTCATAATGGCTGAATTCCTTTTACCCTTACCGATTTCATGTCTTTCGTATTCATCAAGGTATTTCTTTCCTTCGTTGATCCACACTCCCAGACATTTGTACTTGTCCACCGTACCTATCTCTGTGTTCTGTACCTTTAAATGATCTCCCTTAATGTCATTAAAAAACATAATACCAGATTTTGTTCCACTAAATTTAGATCCAAGAGCGTCCCCTTTCATGCCGCATTCCGGTCGACTTCTGCAACTCTTCTCGGTTATCTGATAGGAGTTCTACGGGCAGAAATTAGCACTACATACTGAGTCTGTAGTATCAGCTTCTTCGCATTTTGGCTGCATTTATCCATGGACATTATTAGCTGATGTTTAGTTTAGCTCTTGCTGTGATAATTTTGTTAGCAGTACCAGGAAGATAAGTGTCCTCACTCGAGCGTTTCTCTTTGAATTTTTGAGTCACTCGTAGCTTTTGAATGTACCAGCTTATTTTGAAATCCTTGGGCCATTTGCTCGAAAACTAGGAAAATCTAGCCGCGGTTGATGAGTTTTTTTTAAAATTTGCTGATACCTATTTTTTCGTTTCCGCAGCTACACTATGTCCACGTAATGTATAAGTTCTTCGAAGATCAGAACCCATATTTTCTGAGATAAAAGCCATTATGACAAACATTGTAAAAACTTCAGATTGAGTAACCAAAGGTGCAAAACCCAGGGATCCTGGGTTCCATCCCCAACCCTGCCTGTTTCGATCTGGATGAGCATCAAGTGTGCAATCATGTATAACTACAGCGTGATGCACATTAAAGACCCCAGGCTGGCAGTGTTACTCTACTGCCAAAATTTCTCATCTACAGCAGTTATACACATTCTGTTGTTGGCATTGTTGTCAATGCTGCTGTGCCATTAAACTCCAAAGGTGTACAGTCGTCACAGAATGAAACGCGAACATGGAGCGCATGGTTTTCGATCCACGCTGAGTCACCTAGAGACGCAACACCGAAGGTTTGGATGCACTGAGCAAGAGTCTAACACATCGAAGGAGGAGCCATCTTCTTGCAGCTCCCATCTGGTTCAGGTAGTGCAGCATCTAGCGAAAACCATGCACCCACGGTTCGCGTTTCATTCCGTGCCGACTGTACGTTCCTCTCCAGTGGTGACTCCACATGCCCTATGCGGCTGACTTCTTGCCGTCTACACAAACACGCAATGCAATCAAAATTATATCAGAAGGAAAAAGGCATCGCACGCAAGAGCCTAGACTTCAGCCATTTGCGGCAGTCGAGGGGACAAAGGTTGGTGCGAGATGGACCCCCGCGCCCCCTCAAACGAGTCTTCTGTGTCCGGCAGGTGAGTCGGCGCTTCAACTCGTACTGCCAGCGCCTGCTGAACCAGGGCTTCTTCCGGGCGGAGCGCTTCCACGCCAAGTGCCTCAAGGCGGTGAAGAAGCAGTTGCCCCGGCGGGAATCGGAGCGCCGCACGCACCCACTGGCTCGCCACTGCGAGATCCTGACGAGCATCGAGACGCGCCTGTCCCTGCTCAGCATGACCTTCATGAAGTACATGGACATGGGGCTCTGCTGCTTCATCCCAGGAAAGGTGAGGTTCCTCTGCCTTTGGAGGGCACCAGCCCTGTCGGGCCTCGTCGTTACCAGTTGTACTCGGTCATGGCGCTTCTCGTACGAGGCGTATGGTGGAGGCAGCGAGATAGAGGGGCTTAAAGTGATAAACTGGTATCCCGTTCACCAGGCAAAAGTTACACACCCCTTGGTTGCTGCCATGTTGTACAATTTTGATCACTAGACACATGACCCTTCCAAATTCTAAGGCTTTTACACAAAACAGAGCCAAAATTTGTATTGCGAGCGCTGTAAAAAACATAATGAACTATTTTTCAATACTTTTAGCCCCTGAGATCAGTGTCTAGCTCCGATAAAATCCTAAAATACAGCACCGCGGCTGACAGCATCTAGCGGAGGCATTGCGAAGCTGCCCGAGTTTTTGTCGTAAAAGCACATCGTGGACTTAAAACTAGGGCTCCGTGTTTTCGGAGTTTATTTTTCGTGAAATTCGGAGGGTGTTTTTCGGAGTTTATTTTTTAGCGAAAATTCGGTGTTTATCGGAGTTTATTTTTTGTAAATCCCCAATTCTGCGAAATTCGGAGATTAATTTTGCAGTATTTCTTATTAAAAAAAAAAAAATAATAATAACCGAATGTAAACGTATGCCAGATAAAAAATAAAACGCGCTTGTATCAATTAAGATTTCTTCAGTTGAATTTGGCGTTGGTGTCATTGGCAATACTCATTTGTCCCAAAACGTCGGTACCTTAAAATCAATAAACTGTTGGAGGTAGCCGCAAGGAAGCTCGTAGTCATCCCATCGATCTATCCCGCGGCCGCGCGAGGTGGAGTGGTTAAGGATGTAATAGAGAAGTTTCAACTGCCCCTCTTCCCTATTTTATACAATCTCTATAGTCCATAGTTTTCATTGTTACCCACAAAAACGTACCCTCTCCTTTCTTTAAAACCCAAATCACATGGCCCAAACCGGAAGCCAAAAGAGTGGCTTTTGTCGTGACACGAATGGTACGATGACCTGTCTCCCTGAGCCAACCTTGACGAGACAAGCCGTAAGACCCCCTTTTGACAACGGTCCGAGGCTTGAAAGATAATTATGGTGTCTTTTTCCCAAAACCATTTATTTATTTATTTATTATACCCTCAGGGCCGAAGCATTACAGAGGGGGTGGGCAACGGAAGTACAAAAAACGCTGAAAATGGTTAGTCCGGCACAGATCATGAATAGTAACTTGTTAAAGCTTCTTTAAAGAGGACAAAATCGCCAATGGACACAATGGGTGAGGATCCTGCGCTGCTCAAATTGTAAAAAAAAAAAAAAAAAAATACTTTTTTTTTTGTGGAAAAGGGGGGGGGGGGGGTGGCATGGGCACATAACGATTTGGAGTTTATCAGATAAATCCGAATTGAAGAAAATTTTACCGGCAAATGTTTTTCGGATTTATCTGAAAACACGGAGCCCTACTTAAAACAAACGAAACATAACTTAGCTCGTCATTACTGTTGTTAGAGATCAATAAGCAATTATTTGTGCGCAGTACTGCGTTAAAATCTAGACGCAGGGGTGGAACGGCTGCGCCATTTTGCACCAGACGCATTTGTCTGCACCATCCTGCGCCATGTTGCGGAAACTGTGCCACAGCCAGTACCTCGCGCCATTATGCACCAAATCGCTAAATGTGCGCCAAAATTTTTTTTTTATTTTGCCTTGGTTTCAGCTTTTATTGACTCGATTGGCAACAATGAGCGTGTTTAGCTTGGTCAGCCTTGCAATTCTTTGTTCTGTTTATTCTCCCTGTGTATCCCGAGTCGGAAAGGCTCGAAAAACCTCAGGGGTCAGATTGCAAGCGCTACACTACCTGCGACTGGATTGTTATTCTTCAACCATACGCTGTTAAGCGAGTCGGCCGAGGTGAGGTCGAGTCATTGAGTGTAAGATCACCTGAGGCTCTGCGGCCCGGGATCTGGACATCAGCCAGTTGAAAACAAATGAGGGAGAGATTCTTTTTAGTACTTCATCGTTAGAAGTGAGGACCGCATTCCCACAAGACAAAACGTGATTTGATAGAACTGAAACGCGGTCCGACCCGAAACCTTGCCGGCCAGCAGCTCTTACGCGAGCGGCGGTACATCTCCTCGGCGTACTTCAAAGGGGGGTGCAACGATTTCCGGACTTCGGTCAAAGATTTCTGGAAGTTACCCTCTGACACTTCTGAAGTAAAGAACAGAAAACCGATTTCACGTGCGTGTCCTAGTTGTTGCGTAAAAATAAGATAAAGATTGGCATTTCAGGCACCCCTCAACTCACTCCCAGCCTTCAGGGTTACACCTGGTCCCCCTCCTAGTGACGTCATTTGGAGTGCCGTGTGGGTTCCCGTCTGCTCTCTCGGAGGATGCTTCCTCTCCCTCTCTGCTGACATTAGCGGGCGTTATGCTGCAGCTTAGAGCCGAGCGAGGTCACGTAATCTTTTCGCCGTAGTTCCTTCGGCTGCCACTTGGGGCTGCAGGTGCGGGGAAAAGCTAGACTTTTGCTTTGCGATTATGCTGCGGAATCACAACATTTTTTAATGAAGGAGATGTTTTCTCTATCCTCCGGGACACGATGAACAACGTAAAAATGACGAGATGCAGATTCTTTTAATCATAAAATCGTTGCACCGCCCCTTTAAACATGCGCCTGCTTATCGCTTCGTATACGATAACTCCGTTAATCGTGGTCTGCTGCTTCGATATTGAGTTGCACAATAGGATAAACTCGAAATTTGTTGCCCTGTTCCTTCGCGCAACTGCGCGTCTGTTGCTTACACACGTCACGTGGTTCGCACATATAATCACTATGTCGAGTAGATGTGGGTTGTGCGATGGGCAGTGCTGGTTTGCATTTTGAGCAGGTGAAAGCCGCTCAGAAAATATTAAGGACACTATCTTCAGAAGCATATGGTACTTGCTTTTTGGTTCTCATTACGGCTCACAAAGTTTCAAGTTTTTGCAACTGTTACACTGTTATCCCACCTACCTAGGTCCCGAACCACTCATGTTCATCTGCGCTGCTAAGCACAATTGAGATTGCTCCCGTGCTTGTCTAAGACACAAGCTGAAGTGTACTGAAAACTGATCTAAGCTGCTTCTAGCCTGCTCCAGAATGTAGCTTTAGCTGCTCCCGACCTGCTCTAAAACAGCTGTTTCAGCTGCTTCCGTGGCTGCTCCCAAGTACATTTCATGAGTTCCACTCCTGAGACGAAAAACTATATGGTCACGTGTCTAGTGGTCATAAATGTCCAACATGGTGGCAGCCAATTGGGGGTCACTTTCAGCTGCCAGTTTATCGGAAGCCATCCAATTTTTTCCCATGGGATACTCTGCATTTTGGTTAGATGCTGCACCTTGCTTGCCGTCACCTTCGTACCTGCTAATAACGAGTGTCGCTTGTGCCACCCTTTACAGACCATAAAGCCAGACCACGACTCCGACTCTTGTTTCGCTTTCGGCGCTTGTTTTGTGTGCTCTCTGGTAAATGGCAGAACCATCCCTGTTGTTCCACTCACCATTGGTAGTTTGCTTGTTTGTTTTGCTGTTTTGATTAAAATAAGAACACCGACTTCACATAACAAGGAAAACAACTTCATTAAACGTTTCGCCTCCCATGCCGGGAGGCATCATCAGTACATACTAAGGAATGAGAGAGCTTCGGTCAACGCAGTCCTATTTATCGGGAGGGTCCATATAAGCTTCCGGGATGGGGCCACGGTTCTTGTTGTACGCCGTCTTATCTCCGCGGATGAACCATGACTCAAGTAGTTTGCGTGGGCCCCACCTATCCTCCTTCGCCAAGGTCGTCGCGGCTGTGAAGTCGAAGGTGTGTCCTGTAGTCCACGCGTGGTCGACCAGCTCCGTCTTGAGACGGGTGGTGTTCGTGGAATACTTGATGTCACGTTGGTGTTCTTTCATCCTGGTTATCTTCTTGCGTCCGGTCTCTCCAATGTACGAAGAGCCGCAGTCCTAGCAGGGGATCTTGTACACAATGCCTTTCTCTGTATCCGCAGGGGTGGGGTCCTTTGACTTAGACACAATGCTTGCTATAGTTCGGTACGGTTTATACGCAGTTCGAATACCTACAGGTTTTAGGGCGCGGCTTAGCGACTCAGACACTCCCTTAACGTACGGAATGCACAAGACATTACATTCTTTGTCGGCTGGATTGGATTGCGTTTTTCGTTTTGTCTTCGATACGAAGAAAGGCATTGTGTACAAGATCCCCTGCCAGGACTGCGGCTCTTCGTACATTGGAGAGACCAGACGCAAGAAGATAACCAGGATGAAAGAACACCATTGTGACATCAAGTATTTCACGAACGCCTCCCGTCTCAAGACGGAGCTGGTCGACCACGCGTGGACCACAGGACACACCTTCGACTTCACAGCCGCGACGACCTTGGCGAAGGAGGATAGGTGGGGCCCACGCAAACTACTTGAGTCATGGTTCATCCGCGGAGATAAGACGGCGTGCAACAAGAACCGTGGCCCCCTCCTGGAAGCTTATATGGACCTTCCCGATAAATAGGACTGCATTGACCGAAGCTCTCTCATTCCTGTGTATGTACTGATGATGCCTCCCGCATGGGAGGCAAAACGTTTAATGAAGTTGTTTTTCTTGTTATGTGAAGTCGGTGTTCTTATTTGAATTAAAACAGCAAAACAAACAACTACCAATGGTGAGTGGAACAACAGGGATGGTTCTGCCATTTACCAGAGAGCACACAAAACAAGCGCCGAAAGCGAAACAAGAGTCGGATTCGTGGTCTGGCTTTAAAGGGACCATGAAATGACTTTTTTACTTTTTCCAGATAACTTTTACATTAAACCGTCAATGTTCACTGAATGCCGAACAGGCATCCGTTTTCGTCTCGGTTTATTAACTTCTACACAAAAAATTAATGAAATATCGACTTTTTCTTGACCGCAAAACAAGCCGTGACGTACGCTGCTTCCGGAACCGGAAGTTCTCTCGGCAGTTGGAGA